AGAAAGGTAAGGGAGCATATGGAAAGACACACACTTTATATCTGAATATATCACCCTGGGATAATTTGATTTCCTAGAATACAGTCTCATTCTTCAAGCAACCTTGATGAGTAAGGAAAGTTCTCCCATTGGCAGCCCATGTCTGAAACATTCCAGTTCAATTCCACGACCAGTTCACTTGACCCACAACCAGTTAATCCTTACACATCACTACTCATTCCACAGATTAACTGCACACTCAAGGATGGAAAACCAGAGCAGGCACGAGAGCAGAGATGCTCTAATGGTGCAAGAGATGCTGGAAAATTACACAAAACCAAAGTGAGGCCTGAAACACCTCGATGCCCAAAGATTTTCTGTGCCCTTTCCAGGAAGTGGACATGGAAAAACTAACTGAAAAAGGAGAACATCTTTGAAGAAACTTGACAGGGAAAAGAATGAAGCCATTGAAGGTGATGAGGGAAGTCACGTACCGGTGCTGCTTGTCCTCTTCCTCATCTCCTATCCTATAAAGCAAGATTCCAACAGTAAAAGGTTAGCATGCCAAATTTTCAATTCCAGCATGCTGTAACACACAAAACCCACAAACTTGTAGAAAATTAATACAGAGATCAAAGGAAGCACAGAAAGGCATGCAGAAAATCCCTTTTGCAACTGATGGGCTTTTTTTTTTTTTAACTCCTGCTTTCTGATAAGTGAAGCTATAAATGTTTACTATAGATTTTTTGTCTTCCAGGATAAGAGATGAGATGCAAGGGGGCAGACAGTGTCCTACTTTCAGAAAACATGTGCTTCTGTAACAATTAAAGGAAACAGAACAGTAAGGGAGCACATTACCCAAGAAAAATTACAAGAGGAATTGTTTTTAAAAAAGGCAACAAAAAGAAATAAAGAAAAAGAGTTTGAATTAAGAATTACAGTGTTTAAAACTGTCACAATTAAAATCAAACACAGTGCTCAGGCATAACCTTTTTTTTCTTGTCTTTTTTCCTCCTCTTTACCTGCGAAGCAGTTTAGTCTTCAGCTCTGCCTTTGTCTCATTCCAGGCATCCAGTTCTGGGCTCGTCAGAGCCGTGGGTTTCATGTGGTCCAGGACAGCAATGTCTTTGCCTTGTTTCCATAAATCATAACGTTCTGGTTGCAGAATCCTCACAAAGACATCCATGGAGATCTTCACCATGTCTTTGCGGCAAGTGCACTGCAAGAGATGCAGACAGCAGCCCAGGTCAGGTCAGAGGGAGGCCTTCTGCTCTCCTCAGCTGAGTTTGCCTTTCTCCAGAGGGAGTTTGGGAGGCCCACGGTGGGTTACTGGGGTGGGGAATCACACTGGTGTACACGTGGGTATTTCAGCTGAATGGAAAGCACTGGCTCAAGCTGCTGCACTCTCCAAGGGGAGCTGGAAACTCTTTTCCCAAGAATTTTCCTCCCCCTCTATGCCCACCAACCAAGCTAAAACTTTCTGGTGACTGATACCCAGTATACTGCTCATCTGCTGTCTTCCAGTCATAACTTGGGCTGATGTGAACCAGGTCTGAATCTGATCTCAGACCTACATTCCCTCCATGAGCCAGTCTCTTGAGGAGTTTCAAGAGTTTATTACTATCACCTCATAACTGAAAAAAGCCTTAAAGGAATCAAAGACTAACCTAGTGAACAAGGCAGTTAAACTCCATAATTGCACATCATGACATTGCACGTAAATCCTTCACAAGAATTTAGGAGAAATTAAAAAAGGCTATAACAGTAACTACATTCTGCATCTAAAGCACATATGTCTAAGTGAAAATGTGCATGATTCATTTAAAAATTAACCTTGGAATTACACCCTTACCATTGTACAAGCCTACACAAAGACTGCTTATAGATGTTTTTACTTGGATATCCATTTGCTCTGCTGAAGCACAGAATTAACAGGCTGAGGGATTCTCCCCAGGACACAGACACCAGACCAAATGAGCATCTGGGCTTCAGAAACTTTTACCTCAGAAGAAGGTACAGGGTTGGAAAGGACACAGCAACACACCAACACCTTCCTGCCTCATGGGGGTTGCACTAGAGCTCTGCTGCTGTGTATGAAAAGCTGAGTCCCCTTTTAGTTCTGCTCTAAGGTTCAGTTTTGCTCTAAGCAGAGCAAAGCTTTGCTTGGTACACACTTGTGCTAAACTGATTTTCAGCTTCAAGATGAGGAAGAGTTAATTAGAGCCACTCTGCAGGACTTCTCTTCCCACCCTTCTTTCACACCTTCTCAAAACTATTCTATCCTTTCTCTTAGCAGAAGTGCATGAAATTAAACCTGCTTCTCCCCCTCCTTTCATTTTTCTCTGCCATTACTGAAAGATTTATGACCATAGCTAAGAAGCTGATGACAGAGAGAGAGAAAAGAGTTTTTCTGTACAGTTCTCAGCTATCCTGCTTCCCTCCCAACTCCTGTTTTTCATTTTGCAAAGACCTCTGGTTACCTTCTGCTGCTCTGACTGGGAGAGTGGTAATAACCTGAGCATGCCGAGTGGGAAGGAGCATTTCTAGACAGGCACTTCCAGGAAAACTCAATTCATTTAATGAAAAATCATGTGGGACAGAAAGGCTGGAAATGCAATTTGACCAGAGAATGGCAGGAACACAGATGGTGCCCATGCTTCACATTCCTGGCCAGGCAGAAGCTTTGCACCAGCACCTCCATCCACACTGGTTTAAGGGATTTGTATCGAGCAGCTTTTCAATCGATTTTCCTTAAGAAATTTTAAAAGCCCCTGTGCACTGCCACAAAGAGGAATACAGAAGAGCACCCCACAGCACACAGCATCAATGAGCTATGGAGATTGACCTCCTCTGCCTTCACAGAGTATGAAAAATGGCTTAAAAGGGGAACAGTCCACCTTCTGATCCCAGCCTGGAACCATCACCCTGCAGCACACACACGGCAATTCCTTCACACCGAGCAGAGCAAATCAGGACTCACAGGGGTCTAAAGGTCTCCAGCACATTCTCCAACCACTGCTGGCTTAAGAGTCTCACAAAAATGGCAAGTTTACACAGCTTACCAAGGAACCCCAAACAGAGCTACCTGGCTACTGCTCAGAGAACTGACACTGTGGGCTGCAATCTCCAGCACCCCGCAAGACCAGACGCCTGCAGGAGCCAAGATCCTTTCTGTACACAAATCTAACATGATGTATGTTTAGATTTCAATTTTAATTTAATTTTATTACTTTCACACTAGCAAGCATGAATAATTTACAAAGCCTCTTTCCTTTGGGGCTTCTTCTGGACCAAGCAGTTGTATTTCCTCAGCTGCTGCAGTTGTGGCATTTTCCCATTCCCATAATGGTCAGGGTTTATTTTTTTCCCATACCCTTCCCTCAGAGCCAGCAAGAAGATCCTGGTTAATCAGCACATGCTTCCAGTACCACAGCAAAAGTGGCAAATAAATGAAGTATCTTCTTGTCTCTCTGCAGTCGTTCCCCATTTGGTAGCCAGCCCACCACACCAAACTGCTCAGAACAGTGAGACTGCCAGAGACTGATCAGACAGCAGAGTAAACAACACAATATTCAGAACCAGCATCTCCAAGGACTGACTCCAAGTCTAGAAAATGGGGTGGAAAAAAAAAGAACCCAACAAAAATCACAACAGCTTTAGGGTTAGCTCTTTGCCTTTGGCTACAGGGGATCTGAGACCCCAACCAGGAATCGGACAAGAGGAGTCACCAAATCTGCAGGAACTTAATTTGTCCCATCCTCTGAAAGCTTTTTGTAGTCTCATCTCTCCTTTTTCACCAGCTAATGACTTTGTTAACCATACAGGATATGAACAAGCAAAGGCAACCTGCAATCTAAGCACATGCAAAACTACTGTAAGAAAATGCACACTGAGGCACTTTTCAAACACAGAAAACCAACTTTCTTCCTCTAGTTATTATTTTATTATCTGCTCCTCCAAGTAGGAGACTGTGGTAAAAATATCTGACCACACCAGGAACCCTGTCTCATCAATTATAACTCCAAGACTAATAGTGGGAAATTTGTGGCTACTGAATGTCTTAACTGTTATCTTATTTGCAATATTTTTTTTTAAATAAAACCACTACTAAGTCTATATAAAATAACAGTCAAATAAAAAGACTGTCTCCTTGAAGTAATAAAACCAAATGATATATGGAAAAACATAGTCTCATTCAACCTCAATCTTCAGTGTCATTTTTGTAAGGATATTTCCCTCGCTTCCCAGCTATTAACACTGAACTGAACCCCATCTGTTCCACAACACATAAAAAGTTAATGTAAAATAACCCTTCTCCTTCAGCAGAAATAGTCACCAAAATGATATATGTAAACTGGCACCTCTGGCTCTCATGAAAAACTCCCTCACACATAGATAAGACCAGAGTCCTCTGCACAGTTGTTTACAACTCAGCTACCCTCCTACTTTGCCTTAAAATAAGAATATTAAATATAAGGAATATTAGAAAACATTAAATATCAGAATTATATTAAATATAAGAAAACCCAACATGCTCCAAGTTGAAGTTCATCCAGCTATTATGCCACCATTAAACACCAGACCAAAATCTTTGCTTAAAGCTTTTGTTTCTGCTTTTCCATAACAATGAAGCAGGATACTGGGAAGGGAAGCTGGTGATGTTCCCAAGACAGCTCTGAAATTCTTCCTGTGCATTACAGAACCACGTAGTGATACAGGAGACAACCCTCCAAAGCTTCCCCCATAAATTTCCAGGACGAGGTACACAACGTTTTGGCTTTTGGGAGAAATACAAAGTCCTCCCAGTATAATACTCCTAAACAGCTATCCAATTTGTTATCATATTACAGATGTGTTACTTGAGATCCAGTTCACACTCATCCAGTATGACAGAAGAAACCAGCGTGGGCTCCAGCTCCATTTCCCTCCCACTCAGGCACAGCCACGCTTCCACTCAGACCCGCACAGCAATGCTCTCAGACAACCAAGGTTTCTGAAGTGACAAAGGCACATAAATTCCAAGTATGTGCCTGAAAGACAAGTGGCAGGTATTCTGCAAGGAAATGAGGAGTAAAGCTTTGAGAAAAAAAAACTCTAAAATGCATAGATTGTGTGTTTAATGCTTGGTAGTTTAAAGTTTATGGGAAAGAAGATGAGTCTTGACCCCCTGTTTCTAGTGTAATTACCAGCATTGCCCTAAGTCTCAACAACAAACCAGTTCATTAGGAAACCCACTGGAAATCCTGTGCAGAGTTTCATAAACAAAGCCATTAGGCAATGTTTTCCACGGACCCCCCCCAGCCCTGGCTGCAGGGCACGTTATCTCCTTGCCTGCTTCCATCACCTTCCATGTGGATTTCTGTGGGCAGAAGAGTTGGGCAAGTGGTGTTAGCTGGGGAATCAGATTTACCCCACTCCATTTGGTAATAAGGAGATTCTGGTTTAAGATACAATAAAAAATGCTACGTGACTTGCTTCATTTTAGGCAAATAAAATAATAACCCATCCCAACTGGCACCAGGCTTCTGCTGATGTGATACATCGAGATTTCTCTTTTTCTGGTTGTTTTGGAAAGCTGTTTTGTGACCTTTGCCAGCATTCTTTCTTACTATTCTGTAGACTACACCCATAAGGATGCAGACTACTCCTGAACCCAGCTCAAACAGATGCAATCCTCATTCCTGCAAGACAAACACAACCATGGCAGAGGAGCAGGGGGAAAACACTTCGGTGGCGTCCCGAGTTACACATCTCAGATAAGGCTGAAAGAGCACAGAGGAAAATTCAGTCCTCTCAGCAGCACAACAAGGGGATTCAATGAAGCACCAGTTCCTTTCTGCTTTGACAGACTCCTTCCAGTACAAAGGATAAACAAAATAAGACTTTTATCCCGTGGTTATGATGCAGTCTGGAGTGAACTTCATTCGGAGGTTATCTCAGGGGATTATCTCGCCCACATCATAAGGCTTGCAGCTGGTGACACAAGCCTACCACTGAGCAGTTTGGTTTGCAGAGAGCATTTCAGGCATTGTGGCCAGTTAGCACCCCGAGTTCAGGCACTGAGCAAGCAGGGAGGATGAACTGATGTGGCTCAGTGAAGATCTGCAGCCCTGAAGTGACAGACACACGAGACACTTCTCGCTAGGTGACTGAAGTTAGCCTTTTATCCTCCTCTTTGATCAGCTGCCTTTTAGTCTTTTAAAAGCCAGCCAAATGTTG